CGATTGGCGCTGCTGAAGGGGATATGAGGGGCACCTAGATGCTTCAGGGGACGCCCCGTGTTGCTGCGATGAAGGCGTTGGGGACGGGGCAAGCGCCATGTGGGTTGTCGTCATGGCACGCGTGCTTCATCGGTAAATCCTCAGATACATCAGGCAAGCCGTTCACTCTGATTATTGCAAAATAACCGGTGTTGCGAAAACATAGTCAGTGTTGCAAAAAACATAGCTGCTTCAAAAACATCCCGTGTGCTTCAACAAGAACAGCGGAGCTGCAAGACAAGGTAACCGCTGTGGCGGGATGTTTCTAAAACATGGCCTATGTTATAGAAGTCCATGAGACCATGAAAAAAATCCACAACACACTCTTTGTTGCAAATGTTTCCGCAACACGAACTCTATTGCAAAGATCCGCAACACAATCTCTCTTGCAAATGTTTCCGCAACACCAGCTTTGTTGCAAAGGCTTCTGCAACACTACCTTTGTTGCAAAGATGAGGATGGGGCTGGGCCGCTGGATGGCGCCAGATCTAACGACCGCCAAGCCGACGAATCTTTTTGAAAGATCCGCCGACCGACGCGTAGCTGGCCCCAAATTGGGTGTGCTATGCGTCGGCCGGCGGATATTTTAAAAAGATCCGCCGCCTCGCGATCCGACCGATTGTATGACGTGAGTCATCAATTTCTCTTTTATAATTTTCTATGACAATACTCTTGTTGCGAAAATTTTACTTCTCTAATTTTCTGCAATAAGACCTTTGTTGCGAAACCTTCCCCACCTTAATTTCCTACAACAAGTCCGTTGTTGCAAAACCTCTTCTTCTCTAATTTTCTGCAACAAGACCCTCTTGTTGCGAATCCTCCTCTTTCCTAATTTCCTGCAACAAGTCAGTTGTTGCAAAACCTCTTCTCTAATTTTCTGCAACAAGACCCTTGTTGCAAAAGTTGCAAACACACCTCCCATCGTGTCGAATTTTTGATAACAAGATTCTTGTTGCAAAAATTGCAATAACATCTCCCACCAGTTCGCGCACTGGTATAGCCGTCGTTCGCTGCCGTCCTTCCGCAACAACACCGTTGTTGCAGAAACTTTTTCCAAAGGTGACGTGCGGTGGTGAGCGGCAACACAACGCAGCGATGTAGTGTTGGGAGAGAAAAATGAATGGAGTTTGCACGGGGAAGAAGAAGGTCATGGCAGAATGTGTGGACGAGGACCCGAGAAGAACTTGAGATCAAGCTATGAGGGGAAAAGCAGTCGGTGGTCCCACTGGGGCACGCGTCAAGAAGAAGAGAAGGTGAAGGGTTATGTGTCATAAAGGGCGACGCTACGCGTCCTCCGGCCGATTTTTTGATTTTATCTGTCGCCTTGATGGCCGTTGGATGCCCGACCTGATAGCTGCCCGATCTACTTCCCGTGCCCTGCATGCCCAATAGTTATTTCCCGCAACAACCGCTCTGTTGCAGAAACAATAGCACTCTTGCCCCCGGCCCTCGACAGATCTGCGCCCCGCGCGGTTTCGCAACAAGAACATTTCCTATAACAATGCTCTTGTTGCAAGATCTGGTCTTCTCTGATTTCCTGCAACAAGACCTTTGTTGTGAAACTTCATCTTGTACAATTTTCTGCAACAAGACTCATGTTGCAAAACCTCTTCTTCTTTAGTTTTCTGCAACAAGACCCTTAGAAAAAAATGCAACAACATCTCCCCTCGCGTCTAATTTTCTGCAACAACATTTTTCACGCGTCTAATTTTCTGCAACAAGATCCTTGTTGCAAAAAATGCAACAACATCTCCCATTGCGTCTAATTTTCTGCAACAAGACCCTTGTTGCAAAAATTAAAACACCTCCCACATCTAATTTTCTGCAACAGGACCCATTGAAAAAGAGCCGCCTGGGGATGAACCGGCGCTTGCTTGACGTGTGGGGACGATTGTGTGCCCAGTCGACGCCCCCAGGTCGCCACCAAAATCACGCGAACTTGGCGATATTTTCATACAAAATTGTATAACCTCGACGAAACTGGCACAAACTCGGCAAAACTTCATTGAAATTTGTACAAAAACAGCTACAACATGCAAACTACACCTAGTCCTACTGCGCCGCGGCCACCGCACTCCATCTACATGCCGAGAAGTCTGTAGAAACGGGTGTAGTCGTCGTCGCGCGCCTCGCCGGAACCGCCGCCGTCTCTGCTGCACCCCTCGCCAGGGTCGCCGACGCACGGTGTGGCGCTAGACGGCCCTGCCTCGTCCTCCTCATCACTGTCGAGGACGATGACGCCGCCCTCCTCGTGCCCGTGGCGCCGGGCGTGGAGCTCCGCGTATGCCCGGCGCTGGCGGCACACCTGCTCGCGGTCGTAGTCCTTCTTCGCCCATTTTAGAATGGCCTCGTCGTCAGGGGCCACCATGTCGACGTGTTCCGGCTTCACGAGGAGCAGGCCCGGCTCGGGCTTCGGCCGGACCAGGCGGACGGAGCGCGGGGAGGGGCGGGCACCCTTGTTGATGATGAGGGTGCCGCTGTGGGTGCGACGCCGGAGCGGCGTCTCCTCCGGCTCCGGCTTGACGAGGCGGAGCGCCGACGAGCCGGAGCCCGACGACGAGGACGTCCCCGGCTCCATTCGCCGCGACGTCCAGGAACTGCCACGGCAGCGAGAGAAGGACGGCTGCGGCGGGTACTCGAGGCACGGCACGTTGCCGATCTCGATGTGGTCGAGGACGGCCTCGAGGGTGTGGCCTGACACGCCCCACCACTCGCGCTGCCCGTCGGCACTGAGGCAGCCGCGGGGATGATGCCGTTGGCGGAGGCGGTCTGCTCTTGGCGTAGGCGCTCGAAGTACATCGTCCACAGCGTTTCGCTATCGGCGGCGTACCTCGACTCGTTCCGCTGCTCCTCCGCCAAGGATGAGCGGATGCGAGCGATCTCGGCCCACCGTGCCACCCCTTCGGGCACCGGAGGCACCGGGACGTCGCCGGCTCTCAGCCTCCACGCCCCCGGCACACGCATGTTCGGGGGCGCCGGATACTCGGCCTCGTAGAGGAGGCGCGCCTCCGGCTCTTGGAGATGGCGGCAGCCGAAGCCGTTCGCCGTCGCGCCGTCGCCTGGGAACCTCTCAGCCATTTGCTCGTCGACGGAAAGGAGGAGTGTGCTGCTTTGTGTGGCGATGCAGGTAAAGTGTGGCAGCTGTGGCGTTCACCGGCGGGGGATCGGCTTTTATAACCACTACCGGGCGGCGAGAGCCTGCATGCCGGGCGACGCGTGGCGGGAGCAGGCGGGAGGTGGCGCCTTCACTGCACCGCCTGTGAGGCATCAATGGAGGCTGACCGGCGTGGCAGCGCAGCAGCCTTGGCCAACCTTCGCATTAATTCCCGCGGGAACCGAGGCGATGAGGACGACGAAGCGACGTCTCGCTGACGCAGCGGGCCCATCCCCGTTCGCGCGAAAAACGCGTTCCCCAGCGCCCCCCAGCACGCCGGGTTCAGTCTGCGTCCGCCGGCGTCAGTTTCAGTCCAAACCAGCGAAAAACGGGCTCCTGGGCGTGACAAGGCCGATTTTCGGCCGCCGGCGACAAGAGAAAACGCTTGGGGGGCCTGTTGGGGACGCGGGTGGAGATACTCTTACATAAGCATCTAGACTCAGAACCTCTCTTGCCCATAGATGGACATCATCACATCAGTGTTAGCACTCCTTGCAAAAAGAAGCTTGAACCCTTGTGAAACTTATGGAGTGAAAACTTCATTTCTCGAAGAACATGATATCGGGGTTGTTTGGCCGGGTTCCAAATATTTGGTTCGCCAAGGCCCATTGGCTCTTTCTAGTTCATTCGGTAGCCAATTGCTGGGCGAGATGTTGGCGGCCGAATCAGTCGCCAATAGTTTGATGCGCCGATGGATTGACAGAAATCAACTCGTCCTTCGTCCCAAATACTCCCTTTATATTACAATGTAGTGCTTTCTTTATCCACGTGCTTCAACTTTGACCGTAAATTTAATTACCAAGACCGATTGCGGCGGAAGCAAAAATTATATCAGTGAATTCGTATTCGAAAGAAGTTTTCAATTATATAATTTTTTCTCCCGCCGCAGTTGGTCTTGTTGGTTAAATTTATGATCAAAGTTGGATCTCGGAAAGCGCGGGCGCACTATATTTTGAAATGGAGGGAGTATATGTCTCGTGTAGACGTAGGACACCGCTTGTCACCGGCCACCACTAAGGCACAAACATGCATCAGTTGGGCATGATAATGTTGAAGTTCGAACAAAGTAAAGTACACATCTACTGTAGTATGTTTGAACTTTGGCCTTTGGATGAATTTAAAAGTTTCAAACAAGTTGCTAGTGGTGCTACGGAAGATTGAACAAACAAGGCGGGCACGGTGCTGCTTCCAAAGGTGGCCTGCTCGTACCTCCCCATTTAAAGAATGCAGCTTAGGATCTAAAAATATGTAGCTTTAGAGTTTAGAGTACTGACACATATGCAAGCTGGCACTTGGGAGTAAAAGCTGTCGTCAGCCATGAAGCGTCAACGTTACGGTCCCGCTTGCTCTCCATCTGTCCAGCCCGCCTCGTATCCCTCCCGACGCTTCCTCATTTATTTCCACTGATCGCCTCCTGTTTCCTGCCAAAAACTGCATGCAACGCAAGCGAAAAGCAAGCAGACCAGCAGCAGCAGCGGCTCATTTAAATCACCCTCCAAACCACCATCAGCAAGGCGAAGTGTTTTTCAAACTCGGTCACGGTCTATCTGAAGTGGGCAAGTCCAAGAGCAAAATTCCAACAAAGTCCAAAAAGCAAATCACGTCGCCACCACAGAGAAAGGGTCCAGCTCTGCTCCCGAGACGGCGACCGTTGGCACTCGCCACTCATCAGAGCGTTTCAAATTTAAATCCTCCCTCCAAACCTCCAAACCTCCACCACACCGCCATTTGGTCCATAGATTAAGCACCAGGCACAGGCAGCCTCGCACCACGAAACCCCCGTCAACCTCCCCTCGCGCACGCACCAATGGCAGCCACGCCGCCCAAGAGGGAGCCGCTGGCCCCCCTCAGCTGCAACGCGGCCGCAGACACGCCTGCGGCCACCGCCGGCGCGCGGCCACGCGCGCCGGCGGTCTCCGCCGAGAAGGAGAACCTGGGCACGGCCAATCTCGGCCCCGGCAAGGAGGAGAAGAGGGCGACGACGCCTGCTGCCGCGAAGGCGGCGCCGCTGAAGCCGTCGTCGCTGCAGGCCCGCATGGAGGGCGAGGAGGCGCCGTCGGCGACCGCGACCGCGACGGCGGCGGGGCTGCCCGTGTTCGTCGGGCCGAGGGGGAGGGAGCTGCTGCCGCCGCCACCACCGCCGGCGTCGTCGTCCTACGAGGCGTGGGACCTCTCCGACAACGAGGCGGCGCCGGCCGCGTCCTGGGCCACGCTGCCCAACAGGGCGCTGCTGTGCCGCCCGCTGCCGATCGACGTCGGGAGGTGCACCTGCGTCGTCGTCAGGGAGAAGGCCACCGGGGCCAGAGGCGTGGCGCTCTACTCGCTCTACACCAACGTGAGCTAATCCCCGTCCTCCCCCCTTCGCTTCCTCGGCTTCAAATTTTCAAAATCCGGGGGAGAGTAGTGTGATTAGTTGCTGAGATTAGTGCCATAAGGATTCGTGCCCGTCTCTCTGTTGTGCGATTGCAGGAGGGGCAGGGGCGGCAGGACCGGAAGCTGGCGGTGGCCCGGCACCGGAGGAGGAGAGGGAGGTCGGAGTTCATCGTGGCGCAGAACCAGGACGGCGTCTTCTGCAGCTCCGACAAGAACTTCCTCGGGACTATGGGTGCCAATCTTGTTGGATCCAAGTACCAGATTTGGGGCCAGGTACATGACGTTCCCCTTCCTGATTCTTGATGTCGCTCTCCTGGATTCGAGACTGATTACCATGGTGGACATGAACCAATGATGAGTATTAATGGTCGCCGATGTAGGGGGACCGGGTCGATGAGCTTAAGAGCCAGTCCAAGCGGCTTCTTGGCGTTATCGCGTAAGATTCAATCTCCGTGCGTGACATGTCCATGAATTGTATGGATTTCTTGACCAATTTTTGATTTCTGCAGGTTTGCCCCTACTATTACTACGCTCACGGGGAGTTTCAGAAGCATGAGGGCATGGATCCCCAAGAACCAGTCCATGCAGCTGAGGACCAACAGTTCTGCTCAGGTAAATCCATTTGCAACACTGGGAGATTCATTAGTGAACTTGAATGGATTCGTTTAAACCAACGAGTGAGTCATATGGTCATTAGTTGTGGAAATGTTGCTGCAGATTCAGCACGTCAGTGGGCTTCCAAAGGATTGGCAGGAGAAGAGGAGCAGAGCTGAGCAACTCTGCTCAAGATCACCTTTCTACAACAATGTAAGCAGCTTCCCTCAAGAAACTTATTGAGCCTTCAGATTGACGTGTCGAGAATCGGGAGTTAAGCTGAGAGATGTATTTGTTCATCAGTACCTAAAAGGCAGTGTGTTTGTTTTTTGCATTTGCAACAGATGACGAAGCGCTACGAACTAGATTTCAGAGAGAGGGTTGGGAGGATGGGATACAAGGTGCAGACATCAGTGAAGAACTTCCAGATGACTTTGGAGGTAAAATTTCTGCTCCTGCTTTCGATGGGGTTAGATCAGACTGAGCAACATATCATGATATCGACAACTTGTGCTCGACAGGAGAACGGGAGGCAGACGATCTTGCAGCTCGGTAGGGTCGGGAAGTCCAAGTACATAATGGATTTCAGGTAAGCCATCGATCATCGCCCTTACAGTGATCATCGACATTCGTCGATCGTATGTAACTAGTAGCAACATTTTCTGATGCGAATATCTCATTTGCAGATACCCCTTGACTGGCTACCAAGCATTCTGCATTTGCTTGGCGTCGATGGACTCCAAGCTGTGCTGCACGCTGTGACTGAGATGCAGATGTGACAGAGTTTTGTTTAGCCCGAATGTTGTTTTTGTGCTGCACCCTGATGGTTTCCTTTGTTCGATTTTTATGTACATGTAGTCTTCTCGCCTCGAGAAGGGATTAAATAATTAGTAGAAGAATCATAAGAGAGCAAAATGTTCGTCTGCTTACCCTCCTGTCACTGTAGGCGATGCTTGTTTGCCTCAAAATTGAATTCTCAATGTGGTACTCCCTGCGTTCGAAAATACGCATGTTCTAACCGATTTTGATGAACTGATGGACTGTGAAAACTCGTCCTTGCGCTGCCGGAGCTGGTCATGCCCGGCAATGTACTTGTCCAGGAAAACAGTTACTGTCACTGCCAAAGCGCCAAGGATGAAGAGAGTGGCGCCAGTCAGGAGAGATTTGGAGGGGAGTGGTCGGAGGACAGCATATCTCACTGATGGCAGGAGATGCTTGCTGCTATTTCAGCTAAGCAGCGAGTAGGTAGGTATTTATTACTCGTCCGTTCTTTCGTGCAGCATCAGAAAACCGGCTGCCGTCTACAACCAGGATGGCAGGAACACTTCAATCTGTTGCCAGGATTCTAAGGAGAACCGGCTGCCGTCTACAACCAGGATGGTTTTGGACCAGGGGTTCTCGCCGCAGTATATGCAAAATTAGATGTCCGTATCAAAAACAGTAACAGGTTTGGGCCAGGATTGTTTTGGGATTTTCTTGTATAATCCAAGCTAGCAATGCCCGGTATATCATCAGAACTGATGTTTACCATTGATGCATATCACCGGAACTGATGTTCCAATGATCACACAACAAAAGGGAAACAACATTTCAGCACTCCTCCGATAGCTCCCAATAAATTTTGCTCATTCTACAAGTTTTTTCAAATTCGGAATGCAAATAACCTAAAGGTGTTGTAGCCACTCGTAACAGTCACCATCAATCTGGGTCAGATGTTCATAACAAGCACTGTCATGGTCCCACAAAGAAAAACAGTCACCATCAACCAATGTGAACTAATTTTTTTTCTCTCTATTCTTCGTCGCCAGCATGCTCAAGAAGATAGTTTGCAGCGAGTTGCTCATTCCTGTCGCAGGCAAAGAATGCTTCGATGACACGTGCTCTCTCAAACCCCATGGCTTCCAACTGAAGAGCGAAAACAAATCCAATCAACCAAGGTGAATAAGTGAGATGCATGGTGTATTTATGCAGCCAGAGGCCATTTAAGGTAATCATGAGGCATACCCTCCCAATTGCCTCTTGCTCTTCTGGTGTCACACTGATAGCATGAGGCATCTCATCCTGGTCAGCCTGGTCTAAAAAGTCCCTGGAAATGTCCCACGAGGAAGATTTAGTAGATATATGTAGACTACTAAAATTGAAAAGATTGTGAGAATGAAGCACCATGATTGGTTGAAAGCACAAAGTACAGGGGAAAGGATGCAGCAGCAGCTAATAGATACTCCCTCCGTCCCAAAATAAGTGTCAACTTTGTACTAACTTTAGTGTAAAGTTGTACTAAGGTTGAGACACTTATTTTGGGACGGAGGGAGTATTTTTTACATAAAGTACCACACACACAAGTTCTTTAAGGTGCCACTTTATGCTAGCTTATCATGTTATGTTCAGAAACTATATTAGCAGCTCCCGAAAAAAAAACTATATGCTATACTTGAAACAGCACAAGCCTAAAAACAATTATTACCAGTTACTGGTATGAACTGAATAACAACAACAACAACGCCTTTAATCCCAAACAAGTTGGGATAGGCTAGAGGTGAAACCCATAAGATCTCGCGACCAACTCATGGCTCTGGCACATGGATAGCAAGCTTCCACGCACCCCTGTCCATAGCTAGTTCTTTGGTGATACTCCAATCTGTTTTGGTATGAACTGAACCAAAACAAAATTGACAACAATAGGTTAGGAAGATAGGATGAAGTCAAACAAGATGGCAAAACCACCTGCCACAAAATCTAACCACCTGGCGAGTGGCAGTGAGCAGATAGCCGCTTTTCTTCCTTTTCTCTGCCAGTCTTTCAAGTTCTCACCCTCCCAGAAAAGAAGGGAAAGTCTTCTTACTAGCTAGCTTTTATATCTCGCGAATAGGGAGTTAAGGATATAACAGATTGATGAGATTCCAGTTTATAACTAAGAAAGCAAAATTAGTACCATGAATTCTATAGCATATTTAAATGAGACAATATATAAATTCAGCAAATAAGAAACGTACCCATCGCCGCCTTCAAATGTCTCATTTAGTAACTGAAGGAACTCATCATTGTTCTCCTGAATCAACCTCAGAAGTTGAGGATTCTGCTTGCTCAATTCCTGGAGCATAGGCTGTAGCGAAATACCGGCAAAAAGTTTAGACAGAGAATGAAGGTGAGCATAGCATAAACAAGCCATTGATAGAAAACCTGTAAAATTTGTGGATTTGTATGGACCATTTCCCGAAGTGCTTGAAACTGCAAATCATAATAGCAAATTAGCAATGCACTACTACTTCAAAATTAGAATACCACATGGTAGGGTACTGACGGGAGGTTCATTCGATCAAACTACATTAATCACTAATACTCTACTAAATGGAGCATTGCATACTTTTAGTGTATATACATAGAAAATAACAATTCGTTCGGAATGCAAATGTAATGATACGCGCAGGATAATACTTTCCTATCCCAACATTATGCACAAAAGCATCCCAAGTAACAATAAACATGTGTATCCTACAGCGTTGCGTGATGGACCAACTAATAACTGCTTCCACCACAGCACTCACTTGTACAAAGAACAAATTATACTGAACACGGTATATGCTCCTACCACAGAATTCTACTTTCCACATACTTAACATATCTATACAAGTAATCTACATAAACTCGTCAAGTCAAATGTTAAGCATAAATGATACTTCCTCTGTCCCTACATGTCTAGCATATTTTGAATTGTTAAGAGGAGATTTTGATCAATAGTTACTCAATTAATGTTGTCTACATATATAAAATCGCAATCATAACTTTTTTAATACAAATCTAATGACATCAATTTTATCTCACATACTGACATAGTACTTTGGTAAACACCTTGCCTTAACAAATTAATGTATGCCTTATAATTTGAGATGGAGTATAGATTTGAGTGGACAAACTACCAGCATTCACATGACAAGTACTTGGCTACCATCACAACATCAAATTATAAGTAAATTTTTCACACGTGTCATCTCTGTTCCTAGTACATTAGATCATCGAATAGTTTGACGAGCAATGATAGTAATAAACAGAATGGTTGGCTTGATCCCATGTGCACCATTGCTCCGTACCACGTTTTTTCCTCTATCAGAAAGATCATAGAAAACAAAGGGAGAGAAGTAACTGAAAAAACATAAAGATAAGAACCTGTTGGTTATTTCTAAGAAAATCAAGTGATCCACCCCCAGCAGCACCTCCAGCATGGGAAGCCCCCTGTTACATCATTCAATTAGTCAAAAGATACTCAAAGAAGCAACACCGCACCAGCACTACACAGACAAAGGTGGAAAGTAAACCTGTGGGAAAAGATCTAATGGTGCTGTGTTTGGGATTCCAGAGAGGCCGGTTTCTCCAGGAGCTGCATCAGTGGTGTTTGCCCCTTGACCAACCACCGGAACAGCAACCTCAGCTGTCACTGGAATACCCTAATGTTTGAGAAAACAAAATATCAACTATAGCATCAAAAAATTGATCCAAATTAAAAATTCAGATGGGGAGAGATACGCACAGAGTACAGATAGTCAATGGCCCGTTCTGGATTGTTATAAGCAGCACGGAGAGCTCTTTGGAGCTTATCTCTGTCCCAGCTGCCACCCCCCATCTCCATTATCTGGTTAATCATTGTGTCCAGATTGCTTCCTGACAGTAAATCCGATGCTGCAAGATCAACTGTACTCGAAGGGGTCCTAACAAAAAACGAAACAAGAGTTTTACATAGCAGTCTTGGTGGTGTGAATATGAACCAAACCATTTTTCCCTTTAAATTTACTAGTTTTTTTTGTCTTGGTGGTGTGAATATGAACCAAACCATTTCCCTTTAAATTTACTAGTTTTTTTTGTCTTGGTGGTGTGAATATGAACCAAACCATTTCCCTTTAAATTTACTAGTTTTTTTCACGCAAAAAAAAACTAGTAAATTTAAAGGGAAATGGTTTGGTTCATATTCACACCACCAAGACTGCGAGACAGATTGTAGGATCATGCAATGCTACTATCCATACAGTTACAGCAATCCCAAAAATTCCAGTTTGGGGCCTAACTTCCCATTACCCAGCTATGCAAATTGCTGTTTCAATGGCTTTTGATTTTCATGCACTCCAGAAATTCACCTAGTTATGATCAGTGCTTCTAACTTAATACCTAGTGTTGATGTTCATTGACCATTGTGCTTAAGTCAGGAGGTTGCTGATTATAACCCTATTGACTCATGTTACATGTTCACGGAGAAGTTAAAAAATATACTTTTCACTTCTCACAAACTGCAATCTATTAGTTGATGCAGGTACTTGTGATTGTTGTCACTCTTCAAAATGAACTTTTGCAGCTATGAGGTCATTCATGCAACACTGCATGATTTAAAGCTGAAACAAGCATCAGAAGGACGTGCCTCTGAAATTTAAGAACACCGGTTTTCCCTCAGGAGGGATACAAGCAGAAACACGAAATTTAAGTGGTAAAAAAGACCCTAATGCAATATCAACTGGCGGACTTCAAACATACTCTGCGGGTGGTCTTTCAGGCTGAGAAGTCGTAGTTGATGGGACCCTGCAGAAAGATGACGCATACATTTAATTTGAGCAAGACCCTATGTGCATGCAGTAAAATGCAACCAGGACGCTAGAAAGGGACTCACTGGGGCTGAGGAGCTTGTGGTTGAGCAACTGGAGGTGCTTGACTGGTAACAGGAGTGCTTGAAGGCTAGTAATGGTTCATGTGTCAGTACATATGCTTGCTACTATTGTGCTTTCATCCGCAAGAGAAGAATTTTACCTGGGCAGATGAAGCTCCACTGGAAGCAGAAGCTTTACTCTGCAGAAAATAATTAAATAGTTATACTTTTAATTTTAAGATAAGAAGAACAAGCCCAACGCATCAAGTAAGAAAAACTTGAATTATGTTAAAATAGTGCTGTAAGTGTCAAGTACTTTATGTAATGTTGATATAAATGGACAATGTACAGCATAGCTGTAACATAGGAAGGAGCTATATAGATAAACTATGGCGGGAGGCCAGCAAATTGTGGCGCATCAAATAAGGTGAAATAGTATCTCAGGCATATTCTTCATTAGTGAATAATAACTGTCAGGAGGCCAGCAAATTGTGGCGCGTCAAATAAGGCGAAATAGTATTACAACTGTTACACCAAGTATTCAATCAGTGAAAATAATCCAATAGCATATGACAAAACTGAAACTATCCATACTGTATAGGGCATAAGCAGCCTACCTTGCTAAGCATGACAACTAGAAATCCATCTTCGCTAACTTGATTTTCATCCAATGTGCTTTCATCCTTCAAAACCTTGCCGTTGTGAATCAGCAGTTGTTGACCCCATGGATAACTATCCTTTCCTTGAATCTCTTCAATGTTCTTCTTGACAGCCATAATCTGATTCAAAGCAAACAGTTAGCATGATATTGAAGTAATTACTCCCACTGAATATTTGTACTATTCATAGTTAAAAGGTCTTCGAAATGCTACTTTGACAAAAAAAAAGTGCCTAGAACTCATTTAGATGAGTTATAGTTTGGTCTCATTCACCTTAGCTGACATCACTTATTTGTTATTCTAGCCTGCTTTCATTGGCAGGCCAATTCGTCACCTTTTGTTGCTGGGTTGGGCTAGATTTCTATCCGCTATGTAATTCAAAACAACAAAAGAAAAAGAAAAAAGACTCTCTACATGGGCTTTTTTTTTGCGGATAAAAAAAGACTCTCTACATGGGCTTGTCATCACGTGATTTTGGGTTGAAAAAAGGAGACACATTAGGAAGGAAAAATCAACCCTAAAAATATTTTAGAAAAAAATGACGGAAAATTTTAAAAATGTTGCAACGTGCAGTTGCGACCTGACTTGAAAACTTGCAGTTGCGACCTGACTTGAAAACTTGCAGTTGCGACCTGACTTGAAAACTAGCAATTGCGACCTCATCTAAAAACTTGCAGTTGCGATCTCACTTGAAAACTTGTAGTTGCAACCTAACTTGAAAAACTTACAGTTGTAACCCCACTTGAAAACTTGCAATTACAACCTAATTTGAAATCTTACAGTTGCGACCCGACTGAAAATAATTGCAGTTGCGACCCCATTTGAAAACTTGCAATTACGGCCAAACTTGAAAACTCGCAATTACAGCCTATCTTAAAATACTTGCAATTGCAACATGATTACAGTTACACATAATGCATTGTGTGCAACTCGCGCACGTGCAACTAGTAGTAAAAATATAAAAAGAAACAGCCCGCATTAATTGCATTTATGCTGCAACGGTAGCAATTGCACATGAATAAGTGACGCAAAACGTAGGGCAAACAAGAAACAAGTGAAGCCCCAAAAAACGTATGCAAAAAAAGAAGAAAACACATACTAATTGGTTCACGTTCGAATAACGACAACACGTTCCGTTAAAAAACGACAACAGAAAAGTCAAAGTACAGAAATCTATTGGGCTGCACCCCAGCCGATGTCTAACAACCAGCAAAGGCTGCACCGGCCGTGCGTCACACCACATAAATAGCTTACATACCCTAAGAAAAACATAAATAGCTTACTCACAGCCGAACGCTTACAGGGTCTGCACAAATAACGATGCCAAAAATCGGATGGTCCACTACGTGAATGACACCAAACTAAAAGTTTTAGCAAAACCGGAAAAAATACAACTATACATCGAGTATAATACTCTGAAAAATAAATTAACAGCAAATATCACATGTATTTATTATATAAACCTATATAGTTTTATCGGGAGTTAAACTTTGCGGCCACAGATCCTAGGTCATCAAGTCAAAAAGAACATAGATAGTATATCTTGACAAAAAATATTCAGCTATCAGGCTATGATCACAAAACAGTTTGGAAAGGAGTGCACTCCTCATGGCAAAGGAACACAGGTGCGGAAGAACAGTGGATAACAAGGCGTCCAAAGGACATGGTTACTGCAGATGGGAAAGAATGGCAATGGCACTCCTGAAACTCAACCTTGCGACCCCAAACTGAACCCTGGATCATGAAGATCACTTGTCAATTGCCAGACCTAAATCCTCGCCAACTCCAGCTTTCCATCCTCCCAAAACCACAACCCCCGGAACAAGCTATTAGCACAGCATATCCACAGCATCATGCGTCTACCAATCATGTCCATTGGAATACTGCCAAAAATCGTCTGCCCATATATTTTTTAAAACAGTCTGCCTACAACAACACGCTCACCATCCTTCACCCGCACTGTTCTTCCCCTAAGACGATCCTGAGCACTCACAAGTAAATGCGAGGACGCAGTGCAAACGGCATTCGAATTCAGGGGCCAACACCTCGGCAATAACCCCTAATCAGCAGTAGCACACCCAAATCTAACAAGCTAATCCCTTCCGTAACGCATAACTACATGTCCCTAACATCTAGTTCACCGTCACATCATCTGCATTAATCGAAATGCTAGAGAACTTCCCGAAACAAAATCGCCGTGAAGTTGTGCATCCAGCGAAGAACGCGGGCCCTGTTTGAATTAAAAAAAAGTCGGGGAGATTTGAAACTAAACGAGGGGAGCGGGCGGGGGGAATCTCACGGTGTCATTGTGCTGGACCCGGATCTCGAAGTGGGTGCCCTTGAGAGTCTTCACCGTCAGCTTCATGGCGGCGCCGCGGTGGTCTCGGCCGGGAGATCGGAGTTCCTTCCTCCCCTTCCTTTCCGCTGCTCGCGCTAGGGTTTTCAGCAGGTTATGTGCTGTTGACGCACCCCTCCGCGGATAACGGCACGTCGAGTTCGCGGATCGACCTCGCTGCCCCTCGCCCCCTCCGTCACTGGCTCCGCGCCGCCGCAGTCGCTCGATGCGCCGCCGCCTGCTTCGCCTTCGCTACTAGCTGAGTGCCTCGAGTGGCTGGGCCAGCTCGTGTGTGTTTGCGGCGGCTGTCTTCTTCACAGAGTTAAGATTTTTCTTCTTTCTTATGGGCCGTGGAAGTGAAACGACCAGCAGAAGCCAAAGGGAGCGTTTCGTCAGCTGCCTAAGGCCCAGCCAAGCCCGCGCGGTGCAAAAATCAGTCATTTGGCAGGCCAGGCTGGCCTGCATTAAAATCTTATGTGCACGATGTTTAAAGCACTTTCCATCCGCACCCGTTAGGAACATTTGATTCGGCAGTTTCCAACGAGTCAGACTTGAGCGATGCAAAAGAGCGCATATGGATAGCTCAAGCGATGTAGCCGGTCAATACTTGTTGTACTATGTGATTGTGAGGTTTAACTCTCTAATCTCCTTCATCATTTATTAGTTCTTCTAAAATCTACACAATAGTGCTTCAATTCGAAATAAGGTCTACACAAAAAAACATGCACATCGATAGTGTAGTTCCATTTAGGTGATCGGTTCGTCTTTTCTTCGACCGTAAATGTTCAATTTTGTGTTCATGTTTGAAGCTATTTCAGATGAATTTTATCAAATTCGTCATGCACGACCGATCATTTGAAATTTCCTTTGACCGGTAGCTTCACCTCCACGTTTCACACGACTTTGGTGTTCTACGTTCTCTGTTTCGACGGTTCTAGACGAGTATATCTACATCCACCTAGTGGATAGTGGATTGGGTGTATAAATGCATGTGTGATCTCTTTCAAAGACATTCCTTAATATCCTTTACCTAGTCCTTTTTAATCTACACAACGGTGCTTCTGTTGGCCCAATGGGAACCGAGGTACCCTAGGGCGGTTGACCTAGGCCTTGACAATGGCACCCGGCAAGCGATGTCGCTCTGGCTGGCACAACTAAGAGCTCGGCAGCTCGGCGTTAGGTGAACAGACTCCACACCTTCTCCTCGATAAGTGCTTCGCAGGGCTCCAACCCCCGGCAAGCACTTCCCTGGATTCGCCCGGGAAACACCACCCCTTACGGCCGGTTCCTCCCCCACGAAGGAACTAGTGAATCTGCCTATCAGAGGCATTAAATGCGAACCACCCCGCTACAGTGGTCGTCATCAGCTGCTGAGATAGGACACAGCGTGTCCACCTTTTAACTTTGGGCGCTAATGAGGCGCGCCATCCCCAAGGACATCAATAGTTACAACTGAGGACTCACCTACTTGGCGTGATGCTACAGGAGCGTCCTGTAGCAGCTCACGCGGCATGGGCAAGCATGCCGCGCCTCGTCGTGCCGGGGCGATACGGACACCCTTCCCTCTCTCCTCCATTTTGTGATGGATGTGTGGCAACCACCATAGGATAAGCGAAGGACCATGCTCAACATAAATAGAGGGCAATTACAACCTAGCAAAGGGCTCGACTCATCCGCAATCCACCATATACATTGTAACATGTTCGGCTAGAACACAACAATATCATCCATAGGCAAGAGTTGGGTATCCACCATGTACATTGTAACTTGTTCGCCTGCTCCATTTGTTCCTAGTGCGAGATCATGGTTAACCTATGGGGATTGGTCTTAGGTAGCCGTGTGAGACGGTGGCCCATTTATATATATGCTTATGGATGGTTGTGTGAGACCGTCTGTCCAGGACTACTGTGTGAGATGGTATGTCCAACTATTAGAGTAGATCCACTATTACAAAGGTAGGGAAAAACTATTTTGCGCAAATGGAAACCAGCCTTACAACAAATTGCATGTTTATTTCCGATAAGCCAATCCTGGTGAAGCTTGCCAATACATGCAATGTATTGACCCTTGTGTCTGCAACGTATTTGTTGGGGAACGTAGCATGCAATTTCAAAAAACTTCCTACGCTCACGCAAGATCTATCTAGGAGATGCATAGCAACGAGAGGGGGGGGGAGTGTGTCCACGTACCCTCGTAGATCAAAAGCGAAAGCGTTTGTTAACGTGGTTGATGTAGTCGAACTTCTTCACGTTCCGACCGATCAAGCACCGAACGTATGGCACCTCCGAGTTATGCACACGTTCAGCTCGATGACGTCCCTTGAACTCTTGATCCAGCAAAGTGTCGAGGGAGAGTTCCGTCAGCACGACGGCATGGTGACGATGATGGTGAAGTGATCCGCGCAGGGCTTCTCCTAAGCACTACGTGAATATGACCGGAGGCATAAACTGTGGAGGGGGGTGCCGCACACGGCTTGGAACAATTGATGTGTGTTCTAGGCGCCTGTAAGTGCATCTAGTGCCCCTTAGTGATTTTGGTGTATTGAAGACTTATAGGTTAAGGAACTAATGTGTTTGTGAGTGTACACAGGTCTATAAGTCTATAAGGAGTTTGATATTTACAGAGAAATTCGACCCCTAAAAATGAATGTCTTCGACTGAAGACTTTGGATTTCTGAAAACTTTGAAAGTGAAGAAATTGGTGTGACCATAAAGACTTGATATTCGTACGAGGAACATGATTCGTGAAGACTTTTGTTTCCATAGTTTCATTTTCTTTTTCTTGAGTCATAGGAAACACCGTACTGTTAAAGGGGGTCGAGGAAATACTAAGGAAAAATTTCCAAGTGATGCTCATCTCAAAATCCTACACCTACCAATCCCTTCGAGTGAAGCCATTGGAAATCTCATGCAGCTTAGTCAATTTCTTCAGTGACAGAGACGAAGTTCTTCTGGTCTCTGAGGAATTTGTTCTGACTGAGGAGTTAGGAATTCGCAAGTGCGGATTGCCTACAAGTGAGGAACATGATATCCCTGAGGAATTTGATAGTCAAATTTTCGACTGTTGCTGTGCTACGTGCCAGCTGTCCCAAAATATCTTCCCACCTAACGGTCATATCATTGAACGACATTTATGTCTTATCATGTCAGGCTGCTCCCTAGGCTATAAATAGTCGCCCTACAACCACTAGCTGGTTGGCTGCTCCGAGAGAAACTGACACTTGTCATTTGAGAGCATCCCATCCTCCGAGGACTTTGAGCGAAAATCATCAAGTGAGGAAAACCCAAACCCAAACACCTACAAACCCAAAGTGATTGAGCATCACTGAAGAGATTGATCCTGCGTGGATTCGACGCTTGTTGCCTTTGAAGACTGTGCATCTTCCAGACGGTTAGGCGTCATGGTCTAGAGCATCCAAGAGGAAATTGTGGATCGCCGAGTGACCGAGTTTGTGAAGGTTTGGAAGTCACCTGAAGACTTATCACGAGTGATTGGGCAAGGTCTGTGTGACCTTAGCTCAAGGAGAATACGGTGAGGACTGTGTGTCTGGGACTGTGTGTAACGCCCCGGATACAACTTTCCATATTCGTAACTCCAACTCTTGCCTTTTCCGGAGATGCGATATGATATTTCCTTCGTGGTTGGGTTTTGTCTTTTGTTCTGCATTTTGTTCATGTCATGCATCTCATCTCATAGCATCATGCGCATTGCATTTGCATGTTTTCATAAAAACTCGTACCGTTTGCAGTTGCCCTTTCTCTCTTTGCCTCCGTTGTCATTTTGTCAGGACCTTGTCCTTGTTGACCTCTCTTGACCCCTCGTGTGCGTGTCCGAAACTGCTCCGAACCCGACCCGCTCTGTCGTTACCGATGGATCCGAATCATCCCTAAACATCCCGAAAGTATCTTCGTTTCTTTGTTGGATTCTCCCTAGCCTATTTTTCCGCCCGTCCGATTACGATCGGAGGGACGAGATAGCCCCTAGCCTAACCTACCCGCTATATATACTAGTCTAAACCGAGACCAAATCCCTAATTTCTAGGGATCCTCCTAGCCGTCGCCACTCTCTCCCGCATCCACCTCAGGATCCTCCCTGATCCAAATCCTCCCAACCGAGAAGTGCCCAAGCTCTTCGCTTCTCCTCCTACCTCACTCGACCCCCCTGCTCGCGCCGATCGAGCCCCTGTCCAGGAGCTCCCACAGCAACCTAGCGTCGGCCTCCCGTGCTCGACCTCATCCCCAACCTCGCAAGCTTCCTCGATCCTCTCCCGAGCAGGTGCTCGCCAGGAGCCCCGTGTCCCCGCCTCCGTCTGGCCAGCCACGTCGCTGGCACACCCAGTAGCCAACCAGATGAGCGTCGCCCCCCTTCTTCTCCTTCCCGTGCTCCTCCCGTTTCTCCCTATCTCATATCCTTGCATATCTCTCTCTTTCTGTCAGCTGGAAGCCACGAGGAGGTGCCCTCGTCCCCGTCCCCATGGAGCCGTCGTCCCAAGGCAAGCTGCCGGCTTGCCTCTGCTTCGCCTTGTCGTCGTCGCCTCTCTGGTGAGGCCTCGCGCCGCCCCGTCGTGCCACCTCTTTCTTCCGTTTCCTCCCTGCGTTTCCCCTCTCTCATCTCTCTCTGTTCTCCCTTTCTCTGTCGATAGGAGCACCCCCGCGTCATGGCCTCGCTGAGCTCTGCCCGCACCAGCGCCTCAAGCCGCCACCGTTCGCTCCAGATCCGGCCCCTCCGTCAGATCCCGTCGTCCCAGTCCTGTTCCGGTCGGCCCTCGCCGACGTCGTCCTCGACCGGATCCTCGTCGCCTGACGCTGCCAAGTCCCGCTCCTGCCTCTGCTCGAGAGGAGGAGGCTGCATTCGCACAACCGCGTTGACCGCTTCTCTCCTTCCGCTCACCCGCGCCGTTGACCCGTCGCCCTGCTGCGTGGGCCAGCGCCTCCCCAAGGCCCAGCGTCCCGGCATGCCTCCTCCTCTCCATAGTTTTGGGCCAAGGCCCATGGTGAGCACCCAGCCGCCCCCTGTTTCGGCCCAGTTCC